GGTGACAGTCGGTACTGCAGCCGCACAAAACAGGTTTTCGATGGCATTTTTTGTGTGTAGCTGCAGTACCGACTGTCACCACCGGAGGGAGCTGTTTCTTGTCCCTTAGAGCATTGAAGCTTTGAAACGGGTCTTTCTTGCGCAGCTGTTGTGCAGCATCTGGGAAACGGAAAACAGTGCCATCCTGTGGTCCAATGAAGGAACAGCAACCAGGAAAAAAAACCTTTTAATTTTTTTTTTAGGGTTTTATCTTGTTTTATTAAGGCCATCCGAGGCCTGTTTGATAACTTCAATGCTGAATATGGTGCCATCGTGTGGTGAAAGCAGGTACTGCAGCCTCGTATTACCTGTTCTGCAGCACCCGGGAAAACGGAAAACAGTGCCATCCTGTGGCCCAAGAAGGAATAACAGCCAGAAAAAAAAACCCTTTTAGGCTACTATCCTGTATGTTTATTATTAGCACCTTATTAATAGGACAACATGAGGCTGAACGCTGCAACAGAGGAATAGAAAAAGAAATCCGGCTATTTGTTCTGAAATCATGATTTTTGAAGATGAGCACTTTCTCATTCCTTTCCTAATTTTGGGTGTTTTATTTTTTAAACCAAACTCCTTGGCTCAAGCTGCTGGTAAACACACACACACACACACAAACACACACACACACACACACACACACACTCTTAATATATCCCAGGGAAGTTACTTTTTCTTGTTTGAAAGGTGTTATTTTTACAGTGTACATTTGCACTTGCCTTTTGTTTTCTACTGTTGGAAGAAATGTCCACCTGGGTCCAGGTGTGCATCTTGCTTTTCCTTTTTAATTGGCGCTCAGGTAGAGACCATATTCCTCACTGGTCACTTTCACTACAGTTTATTATCAGAGGGGACTCCGTGAACAAAAGACACGCACCAATATTTACAGAATAATTGTGTTTTGTGTTGTAAGGGGGGCGTAGATTGCTAAGGAAACGTTACGATAAAACCCGCAACAGGCTCTGGTGACAGATGGCTCTAAGGCAAAATTATTTGCTTCCATTTGGTTCAGTTTTTAATTAACGGAATAATAGAATTGAAAGACACTTGGAGGTCTTCTAGTCCAACCCCCTTCTTGAGCAGAAACCCTGCCTATACCATTTCAGGGACAGGAAACAGTGCCCTCCTGTGGTCCAAGCGGGTATAGCTGCCACAAAAAGTAAAAAATAAAAATAAAATAATGGCCTTTAAAAATTATTATTCTGTATCTTTATTATTAAAACCCTTATTAATATTAATAGTGCAACAGAAGGCCCAGGAACTGCACAACAGGCACAGAAGAAAGAATCCTGCCTCCAAAGCCCTAAACTGAGTTAAAAACATCTACAATAGCCTTCATGCTAAGGGGTCCTTGGTACTCTCTGATCTTGCTTGTTTTCTTGCACACGTTTCAGGATCCATCTATGTAACATTATCAGTGCAAGAAGGAGTGGGGTGGGGGGAGGAGGTGGGGGAGAAGCTCTCTGAGCTCGTGTTCTTGCCGATGTTTCATGACCCAACTATGTAACATCTTCAGTGCAAGGAGGGGTGGGAGGAGGAGGACTGTGGGATCCTTGTTGCTCCCTGAGCTTGGTTGTCTTCTTGCAGACGTTTCTGCAACTGAAACACTGATGACGTTACCTAGTTGGGTAGTGAAATGTCTGCAGCAAAACCACCAAGCTCAGAGACCACAATGGACACCTCAAATCCCTAGAATGTACTCGAAGAAGGCAGGTATCTTGTTTCTTTCTTTCCTCACCTTTGCCTCTTGTGTCCAAGCTGCCTATTATTTATTATTATTCCTACGGTATTATTATTATTAACATTATTAATAGCAACATCCCTGAGAGGAAGCTACAAAGCCCAGGTCCAAAAGAAGAGGCTTTCCAAAATAGCAGAAGGCATCCCAATTGTTCGAAGAAGGGAGCAAATTAGAGGAAGCGCTGTTGTAAAAGTCCACTTTTCCCAAACGCTGCGGATACGTTATTCTCCCCAGTCAACTAAGGGGTTGCAAAGCGTTGTTCTTTGGCACACAAAACCCAACAAAACATGCGCGGAGTCCCAACGAGCCAAGCAACTTGGTCCATTTTATTGGTTTCCCTCATTCCGTGGCTTTCTCTTCTCTTAGGTCCCTTCTGGTCAGAAGAGACAGGATGTTCTGGGACTCCTGGCTTTCCTTAAGGCCCAACTTAGAGATTTGTTCATCTGTTCGGTGGTGAACTTCATGTCTTTAGCAGCTTCCACGGCCCGGTTTAAAGTCCAGTTTAAGTCTTCCAAACTGGTGGAAGGCAAGAAGGTCCTGGAGCAGCAGTGATACTCCCGGACACGCTGCGGTGACATTTTCCACTCTGATTCTTGCGGTCTGGTGGCCTCATAAGCCGGAAGAGCTACCGAAGAGCAGATTGAGGTAGTGACGGGTGGCGGAGAATAGCTGTCCGGAAAGAAAAGAGGAAAAATGGAGACGTCAAAGAACCATCACGGCAGATGCCTGCACCTAGTTAACCTTGGGAGGTGTGGATCCTTGGTTGGATGAGATACGCACGTGGCTTCCAGCTCAACAGAGAAGCCAAACAAGCCAGCTAATGTTGTATCGTTGCCAAGATCAACTTCAAGCAGACCTTAGCTTTCAAGGAGAATATTTGTAGCGCAGGGTCCTTGGTGTTCTCTGAGCTTGATTTCCTTGCAGGCCCAACTAGGGAACATCATCAGTGCCGCTCAGCATCCTGATTGCTAGCACTGATGATGTTACTTAGTTTGGGTCATGAAACGTTTGCAAGAAAAGAGCAAAACTTAGAGAGTACCAAGGATCACATAGTCCTTTCTCGCTCTCCTTCTCCCTCCACCCCACAAACCACACTCCTTTCTAGCGCTGATGATATTACCTAGTTTGGTAATGAAATGTTTGCAGGAAAACAACAAAGCTCAGAGAACACCAAGGACCCCACAGTCGTTGTCATCGTTGTCTTTCTCCTTCTCCTCCTCCTCCCCCCCCTCCTTCTCCTCCTCTCCCCCTGCAAACCCCACTTCCTTCTAGAATTGATGACATTACCTAGTTGGGTAATGAAATGTTCCGCAAGAAAACCACCCAGCTCAGAGAGCACCAAGGACCCCTCAAATAAATGGGTGCTACTCTTATCTTGGCATACCCAAATTCCTGCAACGGTTCTTCGTGTGTGTGTGTGTATGTGTGTGTGTGTGTGTGTGTGTATTTGTCTCCAGAATGAATCTCCATACTGGAGATTTGGCATTTCCCCATGGCTAAGGAAGAGAACCGACACATGTTGGGAAAAGCCATACTTACATTATGGAAGAGATGGGGTATTGTGCCAAGGGAATAGCTGGGATGTAATTCAGAGAGGTAGCTGCAGACGGCACCGCCAAGTACCAGAGGCCGGCCTGTTTTGGTTGCTGGTGTTGGTTAAACTTTGGTTGGGTTCTAGAGCTTTCTTCTGGAGCGTTCTCCTTGCGATCTCCTGCTCCTGAGAAGGACAAGGAAATAAAATATTGAACAGTCCCCTTGGGCCCATTTTTATTTTTATTTTAAAAAATATCCTTTCCGTATTCTAGGCGGTGGGGAAGAAATCTCCGGCACCGGTACAGGTGGCTCTCGAAATACGGCCACAACTGAGCCCCAAATTTATGTTGCTAAGTGAAACATTTGGATTACAGGATGCTGGGAAAACGCTACGATGGTCATTAAGCCACCGCGTCCCCTTGATGTATGGGATTATGGGGTCACTAAAAGACAAATAAAAATAAAACGGAGAGGAACTTTTAAACTGTTCAGGGCTGTCCCTGTCTTCAAAAGTTTGTCTCACCGGCTATGTCTTTGTTCCTGGAGTTTGAAGAATCCTTACACGAGGGACACAACCATCCTTCGGTCGCTCTTTGCTTAGAAGGTCTGGATCCATCTCTAGGGGAACCTTAAAAAAGAAAATGGAAGGCGATAATTCCGATTACAATGAAATAGGCGACCAGGTCAAACAAGCTGACACGGACATAGAAGCCTTTACAAACAAGAAAATGTAATATGGGTTCTTGCAGCTTCTGAAAGGCTTTCTCCTTTTGTAAAATGCAAACCATGTTTTGCAAGCTTGGTTTATTTGCAGGGGCTCCGGCAGGGAATATGCTGAGGCTTGTAGGTCGATGGAAGAAAGAAAGAGAGAGGCGGGGTGGGGAGGAAGGAAGGAAGGAAGGAAAGAAAGAAACTAAGAAGGAAGGAAGGAAGAATTGGAGGGAGGGAGAGAAGGAAGGAGGGAAGGAAGGAAATAAATTAAGAAGGGAGGGAGGAAAGGAGGAAGGAAAAAAGAAACGAAGAAGGAAGGAAGAAGGGAGGGAGGGAAGGAAGGAAGGGAGGGAGCGTGGGAGGGAGGGAAGGAGCGTGGGGGGAGAGAGGGAAGGAAGGAAGGGTGAGGGAAGGGAGGGGACAGGTTAAGGTTTCTTTGAGATACGGAAGAAAGAAAAAAACTAAAAAAGCAGGCAGAGAGAGAGAGAGAGAGAGAGAGAGAGAGAGAGAGAAAGAAAGAAAGAAAGAAAGAAAGAAAGAAAGAAAGAAAGAAAGAAAGAAAGAAAGAAAGAAAGAAAGAAAGAAAGAAAGAATTCACAAGTAAAAAAACCAAGGAGAGGTCCTGATTTTTAAACGGGAATTCAGCAATAAATCCGGTTAATGTTTAACCAAGGGTTCCAATCATTTTTGAACCTTTGCCTGCGTTATCACCACAAAGGTGATGAAGGGCAGAGCAGGGAGCTGGTTGAAACTCGATGCCACACCTGCAAACATGTTTTCACACTTCTCTGGAATTGCCTGCTTGTGCAAAGTGTGAAAAAGGGCCGTAAGTCACTTCCTTTCAGTGCCGTTATAGCTTCAAACAGTCACTACGCAAATGATTGTTAAGTTGAGGGCTACCTGGATCAGAGAGGGGTAATCCACCTTTGGTTTCGTTGCCATCCAAGGGTCCAGCGGGGTCTTCTCCATGTTGCAGCTGGACACTCTGGGGACTGAGAGCAGAGGTTTGGAGTCTCTTGAGGTCTGGAGACCCCGGAGTGGAAATGAGATACTGTGTCCCTAAGAAACCAAATTAAGATTGAAAAATCAGGCTTGTGCGATGATGCGACCTCTTTTCTATCCTGTTAGTTTATACAAGGGTGGGTGGCTTAGAGATGATGTTGTTACCTGTGTAAGGTCCTTGCACTGTGCATGGTTTGGATAGTCTTATCCTGGAAGTTATGTGTTGTTTTCCATTCTGCAATTTTGATAGTGCACCACCGTCTGACTCGGAAGGATCTAGGAGCAAAGTGGGAAAAGACAATCCCAGCTTAACTCGGTATGCAAAGTCCTACTTTATCTCAGGGATTCCAAGAACATTGGGGAGCATTAACTGAACTGCAGAAGAGCATTTGGCTCAATCTAATCAAAATATTTAATGCCACTAGTACTGATGATGTTCCCTCTGAACAACCAAGTTCAGAGAGCACCAAGGATCCCACAGTCTTACTCCTCCTCCCAACTCCCTTCTAGCACTGATGATGTTCCCTAGTTTGGTTAATGAAATGTCTGCAAGAAAACAAGGAAGCTGAGAATACCAAGGGCCCCACATTTCTCCTTCTCTTCCTTCCTCCTCCTCCTCCTCCCTGCGAACCCAACTTCCTTCTATAAGCACTGATGATGTCACCTAGTTTGAGTAATGAAGTGTCTACAAGAATACAACCAAGCTCAGAGAACACCAAGGACAACAACAAACAAACAACAAACAAATAAACAAACAAACAGCAAAAAACAACAAACAATAAATAAATAACAACAAATAAACAATAAACAACAAACAAATAACAAACAATAAACAACAAACAAACAATAAACAATAAACAACAAAATCAAACAAATAAATAAACAACAAACAAACAACAAACAACAAACAAACAACAAAAATAAACAACAAATAAACAACAAATAACCAACCAACAAACAAATAAACAACAAATATCAAACAACAAACAATAAATAACAATAACAAACAATACAACCAAGCTCAGAGAACACCAAAGACCCCACAGTCTTCCTCCTCCTCTTCCTCCTCCTCCTTCTTCCCCTCCTCTTCCATGTCTATCTCCTCCTCCTCCTCCTGCTCCACCTCCCTGCAAACCCTTGTAGCACTGATGGGGTCACCTAACTCGGGGAACGGAACATCTGCAAGAAAACCACCAAGCTCAGGGAGCATCAAGGACCTCTCCAAATATTTAAAGCAGGCAGCCTGTTCGGAGATAGTCCTCTTTGCCTAAAGTATGGCTGTCTCCCTAACTAAATTAATCTCAGGGTCTCTCAGTTGCTTTGGGCAACATCCTTCCACTGGCCCTATCGACGGTCGTGGCCGACAACTGAAATCCAGGGACTCTGCAGGACACCAAGTTTCTAATTCTGGACTAGGCCAACATTTGGCACTTACTGAAGTCCAACTCAGATCCACGTCGAGTCAAAGTTGTCTTTGGGGTTCTCCCTTTTGGTTCAGTGGCCAGAAATGATCCATCAGATTCCACCATGCTTTTCCTTGAAGTTCTGCGGAACGAGGCAGCATGTTATACCGAAGGCAAGACTATAGCACAGCACAAAAACAAGAAACTTATCCATTTATTCTCCCCCTGGCAACGTCACCACTGGACTCCTAAAATCTGACCAGATTCCTTTTACTCCATGTGATTTATTCTAGTTTGTGTGTGTGTATGTGTGTGTGTGAACATGGGTGAGATGGATCACAAACAAGCATGCTTAGCTTAGCATCCGCCTGCAAACAAGGCTACCATGGTTTGCTAAATTCCTTGGCAGAGTTTCATACAGGCCGTCCTCGACTTACGAGCTCCGTTGAGGTCACAATTTCTGTGGCTAAGCGAAACATTTGTTATGTGAATTTTGCCTCATTTGAACACCTTTCCTACTACAGCGGTTAAGCAAATCACTGCAATTGTTAATTTATTAAGACGGTTGTGAAGTGAACCTGGCTTCTTCGGTGTAGCATCCTTTACTGGCCAGAAGGTCATAAAAGAGGATGACGTCACACAGAGACACAGCAACTGTCATAAATATCAGTCGGTTCTGGGTTGCGTTGTATTGTATTATTATGGTATTGTATTGTAGTTGTAATGTATTGTATTTTATTGTAATTATAATGTATTGTATTATTATAGTATTGTATTGTATTATTGTATTGTACTGTAATTGTATTGTAATTGTATTGTATTGTATTGCATTGCATTGTAATTGTATTGTATTATTGTATTGTATTGTAATTGTATTATTGTATTTTATTATTGCATTGTATTATTGTATTGTATTATTGTAATTGTAGTATTGTACTGTTATTGTAATTGTAATTGTAATTGTATTTGTATTGTATTGTAAATGTATTGTATTGTATCATTGTAATTGTAATTGTATTGTATTGTATTGTATTGATTATTGTATTGTATTGTATTGTATTGTACTGTTATTGTAATTGTAATTGTATTGTATTGTAAATGTATTGTATTCCGTTCCACTCCATTCCACAGGTAGTGAAGGCATCAGAGAGAGAAAGCAACAATATTTTCACCCTGGTTTTGCTTTGAATCTGTCTTTCGGAACAGTCTGGAATCCAGCCAGGACAGTAGAATTGTGGTTAGCTGTTTGGAAGTTTCCCACGATGTCTTTCATGATGGGTGAGTCAGCTGCCTTATGAGAAACTAAACTGCCTTTGCAGTCTTATTGCCCTCTAGATATCACTTGGAGGTTTGGCGGTACAAATATCCCTTTGTCAAAAGGCAACTGGACTTTGTTTTCCCTGGAAGGCGTTTTGCTTCTCATCCCAGCAACTTTTCTAGAGAACTGTCAGAGCTAAAGAAGCTTCTTGGATGGGACATGAAACATCTTCAAGGAAACACAAAGGAAGTGCAATCAGAACCGAAGAAGCTCCTTGGATGAGAAGCGAAACTTCTTCAAGGAAAAACCAGAAAAAAGTTCATTCAGAACGGAAGAAGCTCCTTGGATGAGAAGCGAAACTTCTTCAAGGAAAAAGCAGAAAAAAGTGCAATCAGAACCGAAGAAGCTCCTTGGATGAGAAGTGAGATGTCTTCAAGGAGAAGCAAAGCAAATCCAGTCAGAACCGAAGAAGCTTCTAGGATGAGAAGTGAAACTTCTTCAAGGAAAAATTGAAAAAAGTCCCTTCATAACTGAAGAAGCTTCTTGGATGAGAAGCGAAAGTGGATGAGAAGTTTTTTCTCCCTTGGATGTTTCACTTCTCATCCAAGAAGCCGCTTCTTGTCTCTTGAAAAAGCATTTTTGGCAAAACCATGACTTGGGTGATGGAGAATCTCCACAAACATGTAGTTACAGGGACTGGGAAGAAGCCATGAGGTTTACCAGAGGAGAGTTTGCACCGAAATTTTTACACGTTAAACAATAGTTTTGTCCATCCTTTACCGTGCTGGAGTGACGCTTGGATTAAGGTGAGCCGTGTCCTGGACTTTAGACGGGTAGGGAGAAGACGACTGCCGATGGAGTGACTCTTCTAGACTTTGGCGCAACCGAGAAACTTCCTGCTGCAAAGCTTCAATGGCTTCACTGGTGGAGAAATAGAACGAAGAACATAAGAACATCAGATTGACTGCGACAACTGCTACCAGGGAGGGTTGAAGCCATCCCAATTCTACCCAAGACAAAAGGGAGAAAAAAAGGGAATTTAATGCTCTTCTCTCCCTCTTGCTGGGCTGGAGGGAGCGGGGTAGAATGATAGGTAAAAAAAATCATTGGACTAAGACAGTTGTTTAGAAAAGTAGGGTGTAATCTGTAGAGATGGAGAAAGCTCTGAGGGCGCCGATTTTTTGGTAAGCTTCCATTAGCAACTTTTTCTCTCTCTCTCTCTCTTTTTCCCAGCCAAAGTAGGATTTGCTTTAAGGAGTTGGCCAAAGTAATCAGAAATAATAATTATGAATTGATGGAATGTATCCATATAAAGTACACTCCCCTAGTTAAGATGTGGGATAGTGAACATTTGTGGGTGTGTAGGAGAAGAGCAGGCACGACCTGGAGTGGGGGAGGAGTTAAAAACGTCATCAGCTTAGAATCATTGCATTGTCACAAATGGTCCAATTCTAACCCCTCCTGAATTGACCCTCATTTGCCATCATCAATTTAGTGCTGAATTTTAATTGACTAGATATTTAAATTCTTTGATGCAATCTAATGGATGGTCCTGATTTGATTCTGAGCCTGAATACGGTGTTTTGAAGTGCAACAATCCTCACCCAAATGGTCTATATCAATATTGTCTTCTCCTGAACTCCTTTTCGGAAGGGGCATACTTACTCTCGTTCCAAGCGCGAATGAAGAAAGTTCTTGTGGTGAGCCTGGGCCATATTGGAAGAAATTGGGGGTGAACGGGGGCCATTTCTCCCACGGGGTGGAGGGCTGCCATCCAGACTGGTACCACCCTGGGTCTCCGTTTCTGTCTCAGAGTCAGGGTGAACTGGCAAGCGAGAGAGAGAGAGAGAGAACAAGATATCATGAGCGCTAAGCCTTAAATATATATATATATACACATCAAGGTCTGCTTTTCTTAAGTACAGTATGGAGTCCACTCTGGGATGGGTCAATGCTTAAAAAAGAAGATAAAGGTAAAGGTTCCCCTCGCACATCTGTGCTAGTCGTTTCCGTCTCTAGCGGGCAATGCTCATCTGTTACAAAGCCAAACAGCCAGCGCTGTCCGAAGACGTCTCCGTGGTCGTGTGGCCGGCATGACTAAACGCCTTTGAAGGCACAAGGAACGCTGTTCCCTTCCCACCAAAGGGGTCCCTATTTTTCTACTTGCATTTTTGACATGCTTTCGAACTGCTAGGTTGGCAGAAGCTGGGACAAGGAACGGGAGCTCGCTCCGTGACGCGGCGCTAGGGATTCGAACCGCCAACCTTTCTGATCGACAAGCTCGGCATCTTAGCCACCGAGCATCTCAAATTTATCCCTTGTATTTTCTTTCCATTTTATCTCCAAACTCAGCCTACTAAAGAGGAAAATCACAGGAAAATTAAACTTACGGGGGAGCTAGCACGCTACTTTTAAGAAAATAACAAAGTTGGACTGGACTTTGGAGGTCATCTAGTCCAACCCTCTATTCAAGCAGGAGACCCTATACTATTTCAGACAAAGGGCTATCCTGTCTCTTCTTCAAAACCTCCAGTGTTAAAAAGCACCCATAACTTTTGGAGGCAAGCCCTTCCATTTATTAATAGTTCTAACTGTCAAGAAACTTCTTATTTCTAGGTTGGATCTCTCCTTGATGAGTTTCCATCCGTTGTTTCTTGTTTTTACCTTCAGGTGTTTTGGAGAATGGCGTGACCCTCTCTTCTTTGTGGCAACTCCTCAAATATTGGAACACTGCTATCATGTCACCCTTTCTTTTCATTAAACTGTTTTCCTTAATCACTTCATTAACACGGTCTTTTGCTAGAAGCAAACATCTTGGTGTTTGGGGATATATTTTTGAACAGCGTTGACCCTAAACCTTAAGATCTCAACTCCAGTATCTGGGACTTGTGAGTTGTGTTGTATACCTATAGGTGACGTCTTGCTAACTGTTCAGAAACACTCTGAGATACTGGACTCCATAATTGAGTCAAAGCTTCCTAAGCAAGGAGGTGAACCCTGAGTAGCTGGACATGATGGAGGTGGTACCCTCAACCACATCTGGACTTCAACTCACAGTTCTCATTGTCTTCTGGCTCCATTTCATTCATCCACCTGCAGGGAGAAGCTTTCGGGAGTGGGTTTCTTTTCAGTAAGGTGCGTCTGTTTCTGCCAGCTTCAGGCTTCACTTGTCCAGGTGATGTGTCTGGTCCCAGGTGCTTCATTACACCTGGTGCTTTCTTTGAGGATGGTGAGCAGGGAGGCACATCAATCGTAGGTGATGGTCGCTGGATGCTGTAGCACCTAGAACCAAAAAAAATCCCCCAAATATGTAGGACTAGCTGGATATCTGCGCTTCGCTAGAAAACTATGTGATCGGGCTTAGTTTTTGGGGAGGAAAATAAAGGGGAAAAAAAATTCTGCCTCTGCCTACCAGCATCCATCGGTATTTATCTGGCTAGCGTCCTGTCAGTGTGTGAGAGAGTGGAGGGCTGTTTGGAAACTGAAGCAGTATTTGCTATGTGAGCAAGGAGGAGACAGCAAGGTGCCTGGGCGTGGCTTAGCTCAACTGTTCTGTACTAAAGCTGTGAAACTGCAACTGAAACTCCTCTGCTTGTGTTTTGCATTTGGAACAGATTTCTTTTCAGGTGGGGAGAGGGAGTAGAACTCCTTAGGAGCAGAGCATGTTAATAATACTATACAAAATACTAATGCTCTGATGGTCATTTTGAAAAATCCTTTCTTAGTGAGCCCCTAGAAGCCAAGAGGAACCTACGTGCCAAATTTCAAGCTTGTAGGCTTTACAGTTCTGGAGGTTTTGTGATGATGCGTGAGTGGTATTTCATATATAATAATAATATAATATAATATAATATAATATAATATAATATAATATAATATAATATAATAATATAATATAATATAATATAATATAATATAATATAATATAATATAATAATAATATAATATAAATATTGTTTTCTATTCAGTTACATGTGCTTCCTTTCTGAACTCACCTCCACAGAGGGTAGAATTAGCAGTTTGGAGGGAAAGAGAAAATGGGAATAGAAAAGTGAGTGGAACTGGAAAATAGATGTGAAGAAGGCTGCAGAAGAAAAAGGATGGCTGAAAAAAAGATTATATAAAGGAAAAGGGAGATAGCTAACATGCTGTACCTCATCTTTACCAACTGGTGCTTGGGCATCTGTGCTAGAGGAGACGCCCTGCTGGTTTCTGACCCCACAAAGCCACTGTCTGTCTCTGGAGATACGATGCGCAGATCCTGCAACAAAGGGAAAGAGAGAGAGACTTATGGAGCTACCAGCAAAATCTAGAACATCTCTTTAGACTACTCTTGAAGGCCACCGGGCTTGATCACAGAGGTATCTCCATCACTTGGATATATCTTCATTCCATGAATGTTGAAGGCCTGAACAAAGGGCACATCCTTTAGAATAGAGTAGACTAGAGTAGAGTAGAATAGTGCAGAGTAGAGTAGAGTAGAGTAGAGTAGAGTAGAGTAGAGTAGAGTAG